TGTTCTTTGAGAGTTTTTATTACAGAAAGAAAGTGGAGAATCATAGTGAATCCAGCTTTATGTAAGTGCTGTAACCTTCCATCCACTGTGCAGCAGGACCATAGTTGACATTTGATCCCTGCGCTGACTAGTCTTGTTTTACTAGCTCTAAATAAACTGAACTATGAGCATTGATTTTACTGTCACATTCTCAAAGCTATGTGACAGGGCTGTGGTTTGCTGGAAACATAATCCTTAATGTGTTCATTACGCTGCATTTGATTAGATTTTTATAGGTTGTTTTTATCAGTCACACAAACATATACAATATGCTGATAAATGCATTTGCTGACTTCCAGCTCAGTCGGCATCAGTTACAGCTAGATAAGACAGAATTGTGTTTTTCATATTAAATGTTATGAGCATTTGGCTGAGCAAATCAGGCATAGTATCAGTCTGTGATGGTTTTCTGTGTGCTTTGTTTGTTTGTTGTTGTCTTTTAACATGAATTTTGTGAACTTTAGCTTCCTGACATTTAGCTTCTGTTGCAGCAAGATGTGTTAAATTAAGGAAAAAACAAGTTTGGGGTCCTGTTAAGTTGTTGCTTTATGCTGCTCAAAGATCCTAATCTAAATGCAAAACTTCACTGAGAACAATACAAAAAAGCAAAGACTTAAAGAGCCATATTGCCCCAAAACATATGAATATAATTTCCATAACATATATATTTAAATGTCTGGCCCTTTGGTATTTTCACTATAGACTTTCTTTAAACTGCCTAAAAATAAATTCAAAGGCAGATAAACAGATTTGTTTTTATTAAAGTGTTCTAATCAACTGTGGCATCAATTTAAACATTCTTAACACAAACTGTTTCAGAGTGTAACCACTGATTATGTGACTGAAACCACTCTCTGTGGAAATATGTTTTGTCCCTTAACTCACTTGCCTCATAAACATTTTTAGAGAACCTGAAATCACACTAATACAGTACAGTATGTGACACAGCAGGCATTTGATGGTACTGTTAAAAGAGAATATCATTGCTTAAGGCAAGGTGATGGGGATAATCATCTACCATCCTTTATGTTTAATATTTAAATCCCAGAGGTGAGTTATGTCCTTGTTTCAAACGCCCTCTCTACTCTGTCTACTCAGTCCAGAGGCATGTGTGATCTGCAGTCACAGTTCATGTTTTCCAATGCAACTATGATGGACTGCTATTAAAATGAAATGAAAATCAAAAATTTGTAAATGCTATGATACACAGACAACATTTTGATGCAATCTTTCAGCAGAAATTTCCAAGATAATGATGTAGTTTGTTCATAAGTTTGATATTGCCCACTTATATGGAGCATACATTTTGTCCTTTTACCAATGACTCTTAGGGCAACATCTCTGTGGTGTCTGCAATTATATGTGTTTGCTGTGGCGGTTAAGATTTTTCTTAACTGTGTAAACGAATTCACTTCCCTTCTTTTGCAACAATTATTGACTTAACCTGTTTTCTTTTCCCAAATCTAATGGGAATAGATTATTTTAGCTTAATTTGGGGAACTGCATGATAATATATTGCATTTGTACTAAATGAGCATATGCTACATACTGTATAATACAACAGCATTTACCCCAGAGCTCTGCAGCATGCAGTTAGGAGAGGGAGAAAGGTCACACCACTGCCACATGTAAATGCTGATTAATCACTGTGACTGTCCTGAAAATTTGGGAATTACTTTATTTCCATCACCTTAAACATTTAAATCCTAGACCACTACAACCTGGCATTTGGCCTCTGAGCCAGTCATTAATTTCTAAATGTTTTTCTGTGACATTTGAATAATGTCTGTCTGTATTCATTATTTTCACCTTTCTGGGTCTATTTTCATATTTGATATTCTGGGCTGGAATTTCTTAAAGTGCCAGCTGTTTGACTATGTTTCTGCATTTGCACTGCTTGTTAAAGTTAATAGCTGACAATATTGGCAGTATTATTTGAAACTGAATTTCATATTTTCACCCATTTACATTACAAACAAGCCACAACGTAGACATAAAATGTATGAATCTCTGAATGTCAATCCTCAGTTCTTATACTCCAGAGATACTGGATTGACAGCACACTGCAGCATCACTCACTATATTCTGTTTAGTGAACACTGTGTGCTCCTGAGTTCATAACTCAGCCGGCAAGATCTTGTGCAACAATCTAATTATATCTGTATTCAAGGGGGATCCGAGTATTTCTCAGTGGGCTCCATGCAGCTGACTGTGTGCATAACTGTGGGCTTGATTAACAAGTTGTTGAGTCAGCACATACTGTAGTAAAGTGTTTTATGCCCACAGACTTTTGAACCTATGGCAATGTGCTAAAAAAGTACCAGAAGTTACTGCTGATCACTTATTGTTGATTCCTGTTCCAACTACATGTGAAATTTTATTTAATTATGTTCAAGTTTTTGTCACTTTAAACACATCCACTCATACATTCAGCTCCCTGCAGTTCATGGGTTGGTTGGCATCATAACAAATGTTTAAAATATTATCCATGATTTCCTGAGTTAATGATAGAAATACTGCATCTTGGATGAAACATACATAAATGTACATAAAACCTATCTCCATCTCAGTATTTTAATACAACTGGTGATTGAATCATAATATTTTGTGGAGTACAGTAGAGGGTTTTGATACAATTTTTTTCATTTCTTGTTTGGTGATAATGAGATTTTAGGAAATAGAGACAATGCAGGATGCCTGATGCAGTCACAGAATGTGCTCATGTTATGGTTTTATTTTTTTCAAATGCATACATTACATAGGTTCTATGCTCATTTTGGACCATTGTTTTCAAGTGACCAAATTTAGAAACTGGGGTTCTGAGGTAAAACAAATTCCTCACCTGAGAGCTCACAGCACAGTATAAATTCCAGCCACGGACTTGGCACAGTACAGGAAGATATGGAATGATGAGAATAGTTTGCAGAACTATATAGATAAATGCTTGCTTTTTTCTGTTATACATCCTCATAAAAACCACTGAAGGTCAATATTTCTATATCTAATGAAGATACCTAAAGCTGCCAGAAATATGGCCAATGCTATAAGCAAAAGGGCAGCTCGTTAATCTAGTCACAGTGGGGAAGCAAACCAAATTCGAGAACTTAAATGTCTTTCACCAGGATAAGCATAGGAGATAGAATATGTCAACTCCTAAGGTCAGGCAGGTGCCTCACACTGATGTATTCTGATAAGAGCAATCATTTTAAAATTGATCCAGAATTTACTTGAAACTGACAAATGGCAAGTGCATTATTTGCAGAGCTTGCAGGGCAGAAGCTGGTAGAGGGCAGACTGAGCACAGAGTATAAACCACAGAGGCAACTAGATATGTAAAAAATGAAAGGTGTGCTGTGAACAAACAATCAAAAAACGTAAGGTGTAACAGAAGGCACTGACCTTTATAAAAACATCTGTCATCTCACTCTATTTCTCAACTGGTTAAAGGCTTAAAGGTGCTTTGGACATGAGCCCATATTTTTTTTTATTGTAGGAAATGACATGGGAAAATGTTTAAACATGAATTCTGATGTGTTTCTGTGAAAATATTTTAGTTTTTACAATATAAAAAAATGAATCCATGGTGCTTGTAATTGCCCTTGTATGCATTTACTGTAGGGTTATTATGAATCCAGCTCCCATACAATGTGCAACTGCTTCCTTCTGCTTGAAACGTAAAAGAAAAGACTGACCATCTTCATGGATGATGTCAGTGAAACCTTGATGCCACTTCAAATTAAGCTGAAAGACATCTCTCTCTGATCGAGACACACTGGTACATTTTGTGCACAGACACTGGTAGCGGTCCACCAGGATCCCTGGCCAGCTGGAGGAATCTGGGAATGTAAATGACCAACAGTCTCTTCTCCCTCTGCAACTACTGCCGAAGTACCCTGGAGCAAGGCGCTTAACCCCTACTGTTGCTCAGCAACCACCAGCCCAAGGCTGATGGCACAGTACAGCTCTGTGTGGATGGAGCTGTACTGTGAATGGGATGTAGGTCACTGCAAAAAAAGAAGAAGATCATACACGAGCTGTCAAAACATTCCCAGAGCACATAAACATTAAATATGATGTAAACACAATAGCTCTATGGAATCACCCCGTTGCTGCCTGTGTGACTGTTTGTCTCCATGTGTGTTTGTAGAAAAGGGAAGATGTAAAAAAAAAAAAAAAGCCAATTGTGAAATTGTGCCATTATTAAATGTTGTCTTCTGATCCAAACCACATTAAATGATAAGTAATACTGCTTTTTTTATTTTTTGCAAATATGCTTATTACTGTAGCTTAAAACATTAAGTGAGCTTTACAACATGCCAGTAAGCATTTTTTTTTTTAATCTTTGGACATGCTGCAGGCTTCCAGTCTTTTTAAGGCTAAGCTAACCAGCTGCTGGCTGTATCTTCATGTTTACAGACATGTTTGTCAGTCCCTATCAGTCCTCTCATCTAACACTCAATAAGAATTCAAATAAATGCATCTCCTCAAATGTCTGAACTATTCCTTTAATCCAGTCTAGTAGCATGTGTTGTTCAAGTGTCACAATAGCTGCATTAGTGTAATCTTCATCTAATTCATCTAATTATGAGCCCAAGCAACTGAGATAGCTCACACATTGCAAATGGTATTACACTAATGTGTATTTGCTAGGCAATGCATGAAATAGCTATTAATTCATTCAATTCACTGGCTATATCGTTTATGGGGTCTTAGTTTTTTTTTTATTATTATTAAATGTGTTTCCGAATCCAGATCTGCCATGGTCCAATTATAGTCAGGCTATTAGACAGTCCAGTCAATTTTGTTTTTTAATGTTTTCACCCCACAGGTGCTATATATACAATCAGTTTCATTTACTGAGAGAGCTTCAGCTGTTTACACCAGAAAATGACTCTGCTTGGCTAATGAATATTTCGTTAGGCCTAATTAAATAATCAATCAGTCAGGCTGTATCCCCGCCCTGTCCTGCCCCCGAGGTCTAACTCCTCTGAAGACAGGCGCACCTCCAGCCCTCGGCGTCTGATCACGTTTTCTGAGCAATATGTTTCCTCATCTGTGCGCTTAGGCGGCTCAGCTGTCAAATCCCCAGGGGAGGGAGACGCATCAACTTTGTAAAAGCAGCTCTTCAAAACGACGGGGGCGGAACACCTTTTCAACTTTAATGGTGAGCACGCATCCTACCAGCAGCACACGATGTAACCTTCCAGTAAGTGTCCGTCAGCAGAGACGTGTTGTGCCGTTCTGCAGGCAGCAGCAGATGGGCCGTGCGCGCACTCTGCTAGTCAGATTACCCGTCCAGAGGAAATCCTGGGCCTAGCGTTTACAGAATGGGGGCAGAGAGACGCGTCAGCTGAGTTTAATGTTAATCTGTTTTTTTTTATGCAGACTCTTTGGCTGCAGGCCTGCCTTTTAAATGTGTGAGCAGCAGCGTGCTCGCCAGTTTATGACAGATTCACCCTCACTGTGACAGACAGGCCCGAGCAAGCGGGCTGCTTCAGAATAAGTGATTAAAACTCCCATAGACGCTGATATGCAAATATACCCGGTAAGACAATTTAAGTGAAAGACCCGTCTGCTCTACAGTTTTATCCTGACATAGGATAAATACAGTAACACGAGGGGGAAAAAAAATAAGATCACCAAAGAGTCACTACTGAATTGGATGATAGAAGGTCAGGAGTGCCTGGATGAATTAGACAGCCTTAGTCTCCGGCCCAAGATGATCACAAATCAAATGTATATTTACATAACATTATCTATGATGATGCTATTTGGGCTCAACAGAGAGACATGACCTACTTGTGTTAACATATGAAAAGGAGAATCATTTTCCCTTTTTCTGTAGTTAGGCTGAAATATGTATTCATGTCATTTGGAGCAGTTATAGTTTGAAAATGAATTCAAGTACAGTGAGAGCACACAGAACAAACATTTTCAACAATTAAAAAAAAAAGCTTTGAGATTTGAAAATATACAGATAAAGTGCCAAGCCACTTTATTAGGTACACCTACACACTTCCACCTTAACATCGGTGTTTATGAAGCTCAAAATGTTTCATAAATTCAACTATTTGTTTACTATTGAGGTCATATTTAATCGTCGTGTTGTACTGGACCACACACATTCTAGTAAGAGGTGTCTATATATTTCTGTCCTCCCCAGCTACATACATAAGAGGGTCAGAATATTAGGAACACCTCTAAGTATAATGTAGTGCAGTACAACACCACCTTTAACTAATTAAATTTATACATTTATGACAGTTACACCAAAAGCTGAAACATTGGAACTGCATACAGTTGTACAGGTGTACCTAATAAAGTGGCCTGTGTGTGTGTACAGTACATTAGGTCTGTAAGGAATAAAGTTATTGAAATCTGCATCATAACATTCATAGTGATGGTGTGTTAAGGGATACATACTGTACAGATTTTTTTTTTTTAATCAGGAAAGTGCAGTAGTTATGGAAATCATTCAGAAATTTCCTGGCTTGCAGTCTCAAATCTGTCAAAAAGAATTGGGGGATCTAAATGTGAATCTGGATCTGCACCAAAGAATAATCACTTGTTCTTTGGCTGGTCTGCCAAACCTTCCACCAGATGTAGCTGCAGGTTTTTGAGAAAGCCTTGGAAATAAATATATGGGGCTACAAACTTCATCAAAGATGACAAAGGTCATCAATAGAGACCCCAGATACTCTCTTTTTTCCCCATCCATGACAATGTGATGTACTGTAGCTCTTACTCTATATGCCATACCCATGCACTTTTATATCTGGTGGTGGATCAAAATTCTGAATTGTATGCCTTTGAAGAGAACGGCAATAATTTCCAATAATTTCTAAACCATAAAAAACTTGTAATTTGTACAAGGTTGAAAATAACATTTCCTATCATTAATATGTAGCTCTTGTTTGACTTTGTACAGTACAGATCTGTTTAGAATATCGGATTTAGCAGGTGAAGACCTCATGTTGGTTTGCTTAGCTCCATTAGTGCAGAGTTTTGGTTCATACAAAAGCAAAAGAAGTTAAAAATCTCAGCAAAAGACTAAGTGCACTCGAACTGTGAAGGGTTACGAGTCTGCATGACTCAGATGAACTAACCTGCTTTAACCATAACTCCAGCAACCACACCTGTTAACACCAAGGTGCAGTGTTAACGAGCATAAAAATGTAATTCACACACTGACCTTCTCCCTATTGTGAGAAAATCGTAAAGCAATCAGAACCGTGCTTTGCTTTGCTTTGCCTCCTTTATGCAATGCTCTTAAGACTCGATGTGTCTGAAACAGTACTATACCACAATTCCCCTAAGCACTGCACAAGTGTTATAAACAAACAAAGACACACAGCTTTGCCTTATTGAGGTTCTCCTCCAGAGCACCGAATAAACAGGAAACACTACAGACTATTGTACAGGGAGGTGGGGGTGGAGGGTGGTGACAGATGAAGGTATTGCTTCAAACAAAAATAAGCAGTTCATAGAGGTGAAGTCATGCTGTCAAAGCTGTGCTGCTGCTGGCTCAGGTCCAGTTTAACCCATGGTTGTACCTTCTTTGTGGTATTATGGTCTTGGAAACATCCTACAGTTGCACCTTGCATAAATAGAGAACAAAGAAAAAAACAAACGGTTTAGTTTATGTTTGTCTAGGTAGACGTGTTAACTGTAACATGCTCGTGTAGCTATTTTCACATGTAATGCAAAAGATGATTTTCTTTTTACCGTTACCCACAAAGTTATTGTGTTCAGTTCATTAAATGGTTCAGAAATTTGAATTAAAATAGGTTTTGCCATTGGCATCAATTACTGCATTTATTAATGAAGGAAAATTGGCGTGGGGGTTTGGTTTTCAAGGTTGTAGAGCTGGGGTGCTCATCGGCGGTAAAACAGATTAGTGATCATTCAGGTAACTACCCAGGGAGAACAAGTGATCAGTCCGGCAGCAGCTGTGGTCAGCTGGTGTTTGGCTAATCAGTCCTCCAGTGGCTCCACGTTGTCATCGGCGCTGTTTCAGTGGCATTCTGCTGCTGATAGGTTTTTCTATAGGTTTGAAATTTAGCTGGAGGATAATGAGAGTTCTAATATTTAGAGTGATCAAACAACAATTATGTGTCTGGTCCATCATCATAAATCGTGGAGCTGAATCGATTTTGATTTGTAAATATGTTTCGAAATGTCTATGTTCCAACACACTTAATGATTGTGACAGTTGACCTCTGTCTGCTCTGAAATGGGACATTAGCTACCGTACCAAATCCCTCATCAGTCTTGCCAGAAATAGACAGTTTAACAGACGGAGTAATCAGCTTTATGCCTGTTACAGTAAAGGCTGCGTCTCTGCTTTTCAGCAGCTTTCTCATGTAACATAACTTTAGAAAAATGTTAGATTTTTCACAGAGAATAGATTTGGCTTTTTGATTCGATTAGCATGCTGGTACGAAATAATCCTCCTGCTCTGCCAAATTTCTGACGAGTTTACAAAAAGACCATGGACTCTGTGGTCATAATGTTCTTCTACCTCATACCTCAGTCACCTGCAGTGATAACTGGAGGCATGGTTTGTTCTTGCCTTTTGATTTAACCATTTTAGTAGCTTCGTTTAGGTCAAGAGATTTGTAAAGGATCCTTTCTTTGTTGATGTCCCTGAGCAGTATGTAATAATAGAAGAGCAGCAGATTTAATCAATGAGGTATACAACTTGAATTGATATTTTTTATTCTACTTTATTTAACATAACCTTGCAAGAAGTAATCCCCAGTCCCTGTGTAGCCAAACAAAAGTACAGAACGCTCACAATGCAACACAATAGCAAACACCAGCAGCATTCAGCCACTGCAGCTGTCAGGGTCTGAAGTTCTGAATCAAGGAAATCATAATGAGAAATTACCATATACAAGGAGGCTTGCACTATTTATCTCAACAGTGTTTATCTCAACTTACACCTGGGTGTCCTCATTCTCGCATAAGTGCCATTATACTGTAACTGGCAATTGCGCCTTACTCACTAGCCAACATTTTCATCACTCTCTGTGCATCGCGCTGATGGCTTAATGAGCCAAACTTTGCTACTTGTGTAGAAAAAATGTAAATTTTCTCATTAGATGACAAGTTAGCAAATGTTTTCAGATGTGGCCTAGTTTATGATCAAATTGTACCGTGAGTTTGTAATGCGAAATGGCCCATTTAGGGCCACAACCAACAATAATTGTAATTATTGAATAATCAGCTAATTTTACTCAATAAATGATTTATTGTTTACTCTCCAAATGCCTTCACAACTTTCCAGCACCAAAGTTGACAGATCTCGATCACTTGTTTAGTCCAAATTACAGTGCAAAAGTACAAAGATGTTCAGTTTACTTTCATGGAGCACTAAGAAAATGACCAAATGTTCCAAATACCACATTTGAGACACTGAACCAAATAATTCCTGCTTTAAAAATGACAGTTAATGGATGATCAAATATTTAGCAGGTTCATTTTCTGTTGGCTGCCTGATGAAATAAGTTGCCAAGTATTTCAGCCATTGCAACCTGTTTTATGCCATATGAGAGACGATTAATGACATGTATGCCTACAAGTTGTGATTTATGATCAGTTGTTGAGTCCTCCTATTTCCTTGCTTAGTCATCAGCCAAGGGAGGATTTACATAGCTCCCTCAATCCATTGCCCTCTGCACACCTGCATGAGTGGCATCCTAAAGTTGTGGTTTGACTAAGCTATAATGAAAGGAGGAGGCAGCGGGAGACAATTAGTTGACCCTGACATGCATGACCTTACTTCTGACCCAGTGGCCCCTATTACTTGAACCTCTTCTGTGTGTATCCCACTGATCAATACCTTAAATGCATATTAATATTCCAGCAGACCTTGTCATCAGTTTGTTTAAATGGAGGCAGTATAAACCTCTCTAATATTATGAATTAGTTCTGAATGTAATTCAGATGAAATTGACTTTGAAACATTACACAAGATGGATGAATGTGCTTTAGGGTCTGAATTGCACTCATCAAACAGCCTTTAAATATCTCACTTTACACTGTACTCAAGACAAATTACCAATAGTGCATTAAAGGTTATTGTGAAAATTCAGTATTACTATCAAATGTATTTACTAAATGGACCACTAGGCTGTGCTTGTTGCTTCTTTGCTGAATTTTTATGGAAACAGGAAAAAAACTGACAGTATAAGAAGTATTATTATAATGTTTTTTTGTCCCTTTAACTTTGATTTATTATACATGCTGCTTATTGAAGTTGCCAGTTTGCTGTCATATGATAATATTCTGTTTCTTTTCTCCAGGCTGTCACTCTACTGTAAGTGTACTGTAGTATTATATGCTATTATGGACTGCATTATTGAATTGTATAGAAAAGTCCACTTTCTGTAAGCAGAATCAAAAATGACCTCAAATTATAGGTGATAGATCAGTCACGACTGCTGCTACTACAATACTACCCATATGATACTTACTGGCCATTTTATTGATGATTTTGCACTTGGTTGTAACATTTTATCCTGTCGGTTTGTAAGTCATCATTATTGCTGTCTATCTTGGCCAGGACATTTAGTTGGACATTTATTTAAATGGGTTTAAATTAAGAGAGGCTTTCTGGATTGTGCTTACAATGGCAGATTCAGAGTTATTGATCCCCCCGCTGGAGGGCAATACAATAATCTGTGAACACAACACATGCTGTGTATACACGCTATACCCTCCATGCGGGAGGGGGGGGGGGCACATTACCTATTACAGGACTCTATATTTTTTGGTGTCCTTGGAGATGGCTCTGTATTACTCTTATTGTATGTTCGGGGTTGCTACCTCCGCCAAGGGCAGGGGTTATGTTTCCACCAGTGTTTGTTTGATTGTTGACATCATAACTCAAAAGGTACTGAACAGATTTGAATGGTATTTTATGAATAGGTAGGGTTTGGCCCACGGAACAATTGATTTAGATTTAGGTGCTGATCTGTGTCATAATTTGGATACAGGAATATTTTAAAAGATTATTCACTATTGTGAGTGTCGGAAAGGCTGTTGACTCTATATGAGCCTCCTTGTGGCCAAAGTGCACAGCTGTGCTGCTGAGCGCTGTGAACACATACTGTGCAGAGACAAATCCGTGGGTTAGTGACAGCTGCCTGTTCATTGTCAATGGAAACCGAGCACTGCCACTCAGTGCACCCTGCTGTGTGAGACAGGGGATGACTGTGATGTAATGTTTTTCTTGAATAACTTTCAACCTAATAATGATATCGGTGTCATTTTAAATGCCAGCAGTGGGTTTTCATGGTCAAGTAATTGCATTATAAGGAACTATTGCTTTTATGAGTGCCGTCTAGTTGTTTCATGTTGCAGAATAAACCTGGGACAGATCAGATGCTTCCCTGATTATGCTGTGTGATGATTATGAATCTTTTTATTGCCTTGTCAATTATCATTCTCAGTTTTGTATATTGAAGGGATGATGTCTGTGGTTTCAAGATTAGGTTAAAAATAACATAACATTTTTATCAATATGCATAAAGCCATTAAGGAGATTCTTTTTTTGTTTGTTTACACTGCAGCTTTTTTCCTTTCGTTGTACAGGGTCTTATTGTGCTTTCACATACAGTGGTGTTATGTGCTTCTTCACTGATTAACTTAGATTAACTGACAAATTTGGCCATATCTGTTGTTAACATGCTCCTTTGGGGTTAGACTGGTACAGTACAGTGGGTGGTTGGTGCTTTTTCACCAAAAACAAGACTTACAGTGACAGGTTATAATGTATAGGCAAGGAATCAAAACACTCGAAAGAGCTGAGATGATAATACTCTGCAGGCTGAGAATCACTACGAGCAGCTACTTTTACATTGGATATGGTGCTTTGATTCATTGCTAATATGAAATACTGATAAAGTTAAATCAAAAACCAATAACTAAACTACGAGTGCTATTTATTATTCTACTGTGCTTAGTAATGAATATCCTGCAAAAACTACAAGCCTAGTCCAATTACAGATCCCCCCCCCCTTCATTTAAATTTTAATTTAATTTTTCTTTACTTCAGGAATCAGGTGACAGGGCAGCTTTTGGATTTGTTCAGTGAAACACAATAGTCAACCTCATCTCATGTAAATGAGGTCTTTGGGGTGCCCACACAGTCTTCATGACAATACTTGGCAATCTCATTCACTTTATCACTCTCCCTTCTATTGATATTGGTGTTCTATATTCAGCATTTTATTACTTATTGCCACGGGGTTAGTCATATCAGCCCTTGTGAGCTGATCAAGTAGCAGAGTTTTTCTCTTGCAGAAAGACTTCTCTACTTTGTTGTTTTATCTTGTGCATAAGGGCCTCAGGGAGAAAGACAATGCTGTCTGCTTTAACTCATCTCTCTGCCTGACACTGAGGTATCAGGCAGCGGCGAGGGAGAGACAATGCTTTATCTGACATTGTCACTCTCTGCAGAAACCTCAGAGAGGCCAAGGCTACTGTGACACACTTGGTGGTCAGAAGTGCTGCATATTATTATGACAGCTCTGCTAGACTTGCTGAAGCCACAAGTCTCTGTGTTAAAATGAAACAGTCTTTATGTGTGAGCTTTATGTCTGTTGTCTTGTTTTTCATCAGGTTGTAAGCTGTAAAAAAATAATATTAGAAGATTGTTTTTTTTTTCTACCTTTACCTTTTGCACATTATTAATCAAAACCTTTGTTTCCTTAGGTTATTATATGTGGAGCTCTTTGAACTCCGCAGACAACAAAGTATGACACAGCACCTTGGCTTCCATTCTTCAGATGACACACGTTAGGTTTGAAAGTCCCCTATTGGTAAAAGAGGGTAAACATGAGAGCATCTTTGCTTCACTTGACTGCTGCCCTTGTGGCTGTCCATGTGATCCACTGCCAAACAGTTTGCAACAGGCAATCTTCATCTGAATGGCACCTTAAACAACACACAGTCCAAATGAATTGGACTCTCAAAGGAAACATCTGTAGAAGCATTTCTGAGTGCTGGCATTCTCAGGGGGGAGATGAGTCAAGTGAGCACCCTTTCAGCCTCCCACAGATGTGCCCGCTACAGCTGCAACATGGAGACAAACTGCTGATGTCTGCTGATGAAACGCTGCAGTCATATGGCATCAGACTCCTCGGTGTTTCAGAAGACAGCTTTGAAAGCTGTTCCACAAATGGACAGATGAAAAATAACTTTCTTTTCCCCCACAATATAAATGAAAGCGAGGAAGTTGACGCCAAGTGGCTCGTCCCGGGTCGTCATTATTTCATCGCTCTGCATGAAGGAGACATGCAGCTGTGCAAGCTTGGCTTAAGGCTCAATGTGTCTGTTAAAACACAACTCTGTCGGGGCTCTCCTCTGCTTCGAATTTGTTCAGGGAACGGCATCTGTCAAACAGGCCCCTGGGAAGGTGCATACCGCTGCCGATGCCACCACCGCTACTCTGGGAGGTTTTGTGAAAAGTTTGATGCTTGTTTGGATAACCCTTGTGAAAGCAAAGGAATCTGTTTGAGCAATGGATCCACAGATCTGAGCCATAGAACATATACATGTCTGTGTCCTCTGCATTTTACAGGTAAGGGCAAAGATCAGTGATTCCATTTGTTAATTTCTAACTCTTTAAATTGGAGGTAGTTCAGAAACATCTAAAATTCACTTTTTTCCCTGTTGCACATTTAAATCACTAAAAATCAAGTGACCTTTGTTGTGCAGAGCTACTTCAGACAGAATTGTTCATAAGTGGTACGTAAGACATTAATTGAGACTAACTGAAACAACCTGTAAATAATTAAAATAACTTCTGAATTACATATTGAGTGGATACATAAAGTTGAATAAACCCCAACACTGAAATGAAATGCAGATAAAATTAATATTAAAACAGTTTGCATTCCAGTTGACTTCTTTCTTAATCTCCTTGATGCAAGCATGTGCTCTCCACAGCAGCATTATCTACAGTAACGATTAGCTTTCATGCTTTTGATTAGAAATTAAAATAAACACAAACTGGAATTTTTTAAAAAGTGCATCTCTGTTAAATAGTCAAGTGACTTTCCATTTGTTTTAGGGGTTAACTGCTCTGAACTTGTTGGGAAAGAAAACTGTGACAGAATTTGTGGAAATGGGACGTGCGTTCAAGTTTCGCCTATCTCCTTCAGATGCGTCTGTGATACAGGAGTCTCTGGTAAGCGGCTTTTATTCAGCTGGTTGTAGGTATAATATGCAGCGCCGTACGTAAATTGTTTGTCTGCCCCTATGTCAGTGAATGTTATCACACATTTTTGATCCTTGACATATGTTTTCCCTAATGCTGTATCCCAAAGGCAGTGAGAAGGATCTCGCCACATTCCAGTTCCAACTGTAGAACCGTGTCATTTGACTCGAAGGGGCCACTATCTTTGGAAAAGGTCAAAGCTGAAATCTACAAAAGCCATATATCTTATATAAAATTTCCTTATGGGCTTTAAACCTGATCCCACTTGATGTTATATTTGTCATCATAATATACTGTATGAAGCAGCCATTTTAAATCATATACCTCACCAGTGATGTGCAGCCTTAAAAAGCCTAATCTGTTGGCTAACTGAGCATGTCACAGTTGGTAAAAACAAAGCTTACAGCATTCAGTTAAAGATATAATTTATTCTATATTGTTTCTACTGTGTGTATTATATCAGAACATTGATACAGGGAACCCTCTGTGGGCCTGCTACAGTACAAAAAAAGTAAATTATGGCAAAAAGACACGATTTTTTTAATGTACACTGGTCAAAAAACCAGGAGCAGAATTGTTCACTTCATTTCTGTTTCTGATTAAATTTTACTAAATTTATATACATCCCTGTGTAATGCTGAAGGTTTTGGTGGTCTGTTCGGCTTACAATATCCACTTTAGCCAAGTCAGTGCTAAAATATGCTAATACTGTCCCCGATGAGTCATTCATGAAAGAGAATTTGGCACAACAAACATTGTCTTTTTTTGCCTTGTAATTTATACAAAATACTGAAGGATCATGTACAGCGACTGGGTGGCACTCGTGAACTGGTGAGCTTGTTTATGAGACATTAACACTTCACTCATTATGTAGGTAATGAGACTCATTTGCTCCACTAATGTACAGTTAGGTTAATGGGTATCACACACAAATGGGTTACAAGACCTGGATTCTCCTCAGGCTGCCCTGGATATCACTGTCTGCTGCAGAAACGAGCCTGCATGAACTTTACAGAGTAAAAACTCCAGGTGGCTCTTCACATTGATTCATTGTGTTGTTTGGAGCACAGTTTGTCCTGGCAGCATTCTTGAAGTATCATAGCTTTTGCCTTGCGAGTCCAGCCTATGCATTCAGCTTATTATTTTGGAGATGCAGTTTCAAGGTTACTTCTGATGCTGTCTGGCATCCCTCTTTACAAGAGAAGACTAAAGCCATACAGTCAAAGAAAAACTTAATAGTTTAGTT